TATTTTGTAATGAAATTTTAAAAATTTTTTCTCAAAACAAATTAAAATATTTGAGTTAAAAAAAGTTCAATAATAATGGTCATCAAAGGTCAATGGTGATGATCTATGATAATAATTTATGATAACTCAAATTAATTTATAATAGTCAAATATAATGTGTTTTAAAAATAAAAAAAGAAAACAATTATGAAATATTTAAATTCAAAACATGTACTTGAATTTTTTTTATTTTTCAAAAAAACATTTTTTTGAAAATAAAAATCAAACAAGCCTTTTAATTAATTATAGATATCTTGTCCAAAGTCGACGTGGAATCCAGGTACCTTGTATGCCAAAATTACAAGCTAACTCAACCAAAATAAAAGGGTCAAAATCCCCTCCTGGTTTCTAAACCGGAGTAATTATCCTATTAAAATCATGACCATTTATTCTTTTCCATTTAATCCAATGGTTTTTTTTTTTTTGAGGTGCTTCCTTTCGCAGCAACAGATTTGGAAAGATTAGTGACTTGAGACAAAATTTTTACTTAAGTTAAATCTTAATTATTTAAAAACAATGATAATTTTAAATATTAATTATTTATAATCTTAATTAACTGTTTGTTCCTTTTATGACTCTAAATTTAGTTTATTTTAATTTCTTTCTATAAGTTTTCAGAATTTAGTAATTATTTGGACTTAGATTTTAATTTCTTGCTATAAGTTTTTCAGTAATTATTCGGACTTCTTGGATGTCAATATAAAATTGCTGGCCCCCCCCCCCCCCACACACACACACACACACACCACACACACACAGAGACAATTATAGATAGGCACAATTTCGTTGAAAGCTTTCTTCCAAGTTAATTAAATTTGAGAAGAATATTAACAATATTTCAAAATATAGAATATCAACAATTTTATTGCCGCTTTGTAATTTGGCACTCTTCGTGTTTAGAAAGCCAAACCAAATCAATCTAAGCTATTGCTTACCCGTAACTTAAGTTGTCTAAAACTTTAAGAGAAGAGGAAGGTTATTGAACAGCAAGAGAAGGAAAAGCCATGGTTTTTTTTTTTTTTTAGTTCTTATTTTAGAAGTCATGACTTCTTGCCAAGGTCGAGGAAGCTAGCTAGCAATATTATGATATTGTACACATCAAACACAAAGAAAGATGAAGAAACATTCCCAAAAAAAGAAAAGAAAGAATACATATATGCTTGATTTTGGATCAAATACAAATATCCCCACACAACTACACACCTACTCCTTTCCTTGAAGGGAAAAGTAACACACACATTTCTAAATCTTAATTACGTATGATATAGAACCTTCAAGCTCCTTCTTTCATAGGGAAATGAGGTGTCATTGAGTCAAAAGGTTCAAGGCAAGTGGAAATACATACTAGCATTCTTTTATTTTAATTTAATTCAGAAAGGCTTCCACTTCAAAGGTCTGTAAGTTTTCCTTCCATGGTGTTCATACACAAAATCAAGCTGAGGTATCATCTTCCAAAGCATGTAGTTCACACAATTGAAGTACTGTAGCCTCCATTGTCTCCAAAAAAAAGGGGGCAAGATTACAATTCTAAGGCCAAAAGTAAATCCCAATTCAACACTCAAAAAATTCCAATCAATGAAACTTTTAGAATGTGATGGTAATCCAAAAATTGTACCAAAATTGCAATTATGTGTCAATGGTGGTCCACATAGTCTTTTATTTTCTTCAAATGAATCCACTTCAAATGACTGGATTTGAGTGCCAATTGAGATTAATCCCATCAAATGATTGAAAAAAAAATAGTTTAGAACTACAAGGAAAGACAAACTTGCAAGCTTTGTTGGAATATTTTCACTAAAAGAGTTCATTGACTAGTCCAATGACTCAAGCTGTTTTAGATTTCCTATGGATGAAGAGATATGGCTTGAGAAAGCATTTTGTGACAAGTTAAGACCATGGAATGCTTTGAAACTCATAAGCTCTTCTAGTATTGGCCTTTCAAAATGGTTAGATGAGAAATCCAATGAAGTGAAGGCAATAAGAATCTTCACAAATTTCATTTCTCTCCCTTTGTTGACAATTGTTATTGAATCCTGATAACTTCTACCTCCTAAATCTTCGGCATAGAAATCATAGAATAAGTGGTTGACTACAATAGGTGTTTTTGCTCTTACAAGTCTATCTAATCTAGGTGCTATATTTTTATTCACAATAGAGTGCAATGCACTAAAACAATCCATAAGACTAATATGATAAAAAATGTCAAAAAGCAAAAGCCCAAATTTTGAACTAACTTCACCACCAAGTATAAGAGCTCCTCAGCTTTGTAGGAGTGATCTTGGTATTGTGCCGTTGAAATGATTGGAGGCTAGATCAACAATTTGGAGAGTCTCCCAATTTCCAATATTTTGCGGGCATTCAAGAGGGGCCATGGAAGCTGTTTGACCTTAAAATCATGACTCATATATATGCATTTCTTTAGAGAAGCTCATAATGTACTTTTTCTTTAATATTAAAGAGGCAAAGATATGTAAAAGATGAAAAATAACATGTATATAACATATCAACTGAGAATAATTAAAAATGCACACATATGAAGCACTTCTAAGCACACCAAATTGAGATCCTTTACATTTTTTTTTTTGTTTCATGTGTGCCCAATCTCATCCATTTTTGGCAGTTCCCCGGGGACACGCCACAAATTAAGGGGGAACTTAATATTTGGAACAGGAGAAATCAATAAAGACGACAAAAGTATTCAGAGTCTATGTACTGAGATGGAAGCAAGGACTGCAAAAAACCACATATGTGAACTTCAAAAGTATTAGAAGTCATGTCGGTCTCGATGGGCAGCGTAAACAACCGTTATAGTCTCCTTCAAACTTAACATGTACATATATAGCTAACGTCACACCAATAGTCTTCTACACACCTATTTCTTCATGAACTAAACAGATCACCCTTTACTTTCATGGCTTGAGATTAAAGTTTGGAAGATGAAGAAGTTGACTAGTCCAGGCAGTGAAATACGGCACCTGACACAGCAAAAATCAGCGAAGAAAACAAAAAGAAGACTAGTGTACGAAGTGAGATACAAGCAATGAAGGCAAAACTCAATACACTATATTTGAAATTCAAGTATACTGAAAGCCATGCTGGTCTTCAAGAGCAAAGTTGGTGTCAGAGCCACCTACTTTTGTCCCCCCCAACTGGCTATGTCCAAAGTCAAACACTTCATTTTTATTGATTGAGGTTTCCCAAAAGGGTGAAAAGTTCATTGATTGATGACTAGAAAAATATTAATTATTTTTACTTTTATATTTTTAAATTCTTTGTGGACCAACTAGTGGCCTAGCAAAGCCTGGCACAACATAGCCAGCACAAAATGGTACCAAGTCAACACTAGTAATGTATTCACATGGGGCCGACCACCACTAGTTTCTTTTAGAATAATATTTAAGGATTCTCTACAAATATTAATTACAGTTAAGAATTTTAAAATTTTAATTTTTTTAAAAGGATCCTAGTATTTCACTAGAATTAAAAATTTTTCGAGTTAACTTTTTCTGTACTCATCTTTCATATTTTTAGTCTTCATATTTCACATTTTTAATACTCAATTTTTTGGTGGTCATCTTGAGTGTTTTCAATGTTTGTCTTTTATATTTTCAATATTCAAAAATACTTATTTTTAATTCTTTTCAGTGTCGAAATCATGAGGGATGGGTATCGAAAACGTTTAAAGTGACTATTATAAAAATTGAGTGCTGAAAATACTGAAAATAACTATTGAAAATGTAAAAGTACTATTTTATCAAAAAAAAAAAGATGTAAAAGTACTAACAAATTCAATCCCAAAAAACATCCAACCGAGGACCTTTTTTTTAAAAAAAATAATTTTAGGATTCTTAATTATAAATAATATTTCTAAAAGGTTCTTAAATATCCTTTTTTTGGTGACCTGAACCGTGCATCCAAAGTTAAACATTATTTTTTAAAAAGCATATTTGAAAAAAAATCCAAAATTAGTTGCAGCGGTCAACTGGCCAAAAAAAAAAAAAAGGGGGGATCCATTCTGCTCAGGGAGCTTGAGTTGATTTCCTAAGCAAAAATTTTTGGCCACTGCTAAAAATGAAATGCACAAAATACCTCCTCCTCGAAGTTTATTTTGTTGCCACGCCTACAGCGTTGGACTCATACAACTCTTTAACCGTCTCATTTTGTCACTTTGATTTAACCCTGCGCTTTCTAATTTTATTGTTAATTTCAGCCATTTATTCTTTTTTGAATTTCTAGTCCTACTCATAGAATTAAGTTTACCATGTAATTTTTTTTTTTGGCAAAAAGGGAAATTTCATTGCGGCCAAGAAAGACTACCATATGAACAAAACCAAGGCAACGGAATGAGAGTGCATAAGTGCTTTAAGCTAACAGAACAGCTAGCACGTCATTCTAACTATGGATTTGCCTGTTATTCTAGCCCTCCATATTAACCAAGAAGATTTATTTGGATTGGAGATAGATTGGGCAAAACAAGTCATCTTTGGTATAGGAGAGATGCGCTACACTATTCAACATCTTTTAAATATTTGTGATCAGGATCAATTTAGAATCTGAGCTCCACTGATAAAGTCACATTGTATGTACCGTATGAATGATGCTACATATTTCCAGACACACATGTGCATTCAATTTCATCAGCAGACTACTTATTCTGAAATTGAACGGACACTAAATAAAACAACATTGATTAAACAACGGAAACGACATACTAGACACCATTTACTACATATTTAGTAAATAGAAAAATATTTCTTAATGAAAAAAAATGAAAAATGTATCTAAAAAATAAAATAGGTGCACTCTTATTATTATTATTTTTTTAAATATACCTTTCCACTTACCAAGCATAGAATTAGTATCATAACTTGTTATTGCTGGCCTTATATATTCTACAAAGTAGCATGATATTAGGAGATGATGAGAGTAAGCCACAAATGAGGATTAATGAGACATCCACCTTAGGGTTCTGTAATTTGTCCCTCCACGGCATTCGTACACAAAATCCAGCTGCGGGAAGATCGTATAAAGCAAGTCATCCACGTGTTGCCAGTACCATATTCTCCAGGCCTTCCAAAAGCTAGCGGCAAAAGAACAATCACAATCCCAAAAACAAATCCCAATTCAGCGCTTATGAAATTCCAATCAATTGAACTCTCAGAGTGGGACTTCTTGATTGGTGATTGAGAAACCCCTGGTCTTTCATCGCTGCTGCAATTTGGGGTCAATGGAGGTCCGCATAATCCGTCATTACCTATGAACGAAGATGCTTCGAATGATTGAATCTGAGTACTTGCTGGGATTCTCCCCGTTAGATGATTATATGAGAGGTTCAAGAATGCAAGGAAAGACAGATTTGCCATCTGCTTTGGAATTTCCCCTGACAAAGAATTGTTTGATAGGTCCAATGACTCAAGCAGTTTAAGAGTTCCGAAAGATGATGGCATTTTGCCTGACAAAGCGTTGCGGGACAAGTTAAGTATGTACAATGCCCTTAACTGTCCAAGCACTACTGGTATTGGCCCTTCAAATTTGTTGCTTGAGAGATCAATGGAGGTAAAGATATTTTGGATCTTTACCAACTCCATCTCTAGATTTTTGCTCGTGACGTTCACTTCATCTCGGTAATAATGATCAATATAATCCTCATCGAGTTCAAATTGAAGTGGATCCGTCTTCAACAGTTTCCCGTCATTTTCTCCACCTGGCATTACCTTCAATGCTATCAAGAATGCAGGTGGAATTTTGCCGCTAAAACTGTTAGTGTGCTAAGTCAACAATCTGAAGGTGAGGCCAAGCTATTTGGGTTCCTGGACATTCAAGGGAGCCATGAAATCTGTTGGACCGCAGAACAACATGCAAAGTGGGTATGCTCTTCAACCAGCATGGGAACTCATCGTTAATCTTGTTGCTCCCAACGTCTAAGATCTCTAGCATGGCACAATTACTTAGACATTTTGGCAGCTTTCCTTGTAGGAAATTCCCATTCAAATCTAGAGTTCTCAAGTCACACGAGCCAGGAAATGACTCAATGATGCCTGTTAGTTGTTCCCCCTTAAACTTAGTACGGAAAGAGTTCCATTCTTTGCAATCAAGCATTTAGGAATTGTGCCAGTTAAATAATTACTAGAGAGGTCAAGAATTTGAAGGTATGGAACATTGCATAAAGATTTTGGGACATTCCCATGAAAATTATTGCTTGAAAGCGAAAAATAGAGTAGTTGTGAAAAATTGCCAACGTGTGGTGGAATAAAAGAGCTGAACTTGTTATTGGAACCATCTAAGAAGTGTAGAGTCTCTGGAAAAATTGAAAATGATCCTCGGAGATAATTAGAATGAAGATCAAGTCTAGCAATGGACATGTTATTCAGCACAGGCTCTTCACAATCAGTCAAATGGTTATTTGAGAGGTTTAAAGTGCTAAGATCAATGTTATTCGAAAGCCAACGGGGAATTGTGCCAACGAGATAGTTACTTGATATGTCAAGAACCTCTAATGTTGATTGATTTTTCAAAAATTCTGGAAATGAGGTCAACTGGCAAGAAGCCAAAGCTAATCTGATTAGATAAGGGAAAGGTGGGAAGGTAATATTTGAATCAATTACCGATAAGCTGTTGTATGAAAGTTCAAGTAAAGCAAGGTTACCCAGCTTTCTAATCATATTGAGGTCTACTCTGCCACTGAACCTGTTGAATGACAGTAGGAGTTCATGGAGTCGTTCAAGTTGAAACAAAGATTGAGGAATGGGTCCTTCAAAATCATTGTTTCTCAAGTCAAGTGTGTCTATTATTGAGGAGGAAGTAAATCCATCCAGCTGGCCATCAAATCGGTTGTGTGAAACTCGTATGACTTGCACAGATGGAAGCACAAATATGGATGAAGGGAACCGTCCATTGATGGAATTATTTGTTAAATCGATTTCAACTAGATTCACAAGGCCTTCAAAGTGAGTGGATGGTAATGGACCAGCGAAGCTGTTACTCGAGAATATTGCATGAACAAGTTTCTTGCACTTATTTAGTGACGGAATCGAGCCCGTAAATCTATTATCTGACAAATCTAGTTCAACAAGTTGGGTGAACTCAGACATAGAGATGGGGAGTGTTCCATTGAAATGGCATGAAGAAAGATGTAACACAGACAACTGCCTCAAATTACTTATAGAATTTGGTATGGATCCAAAAAAATTTGTCCCTGTCATTGTCAAGCGCCTGAGAGAACCATTCAATGGAAAGTCTGGGAATGAACCATGAAGATCTTCATTATCTGATATGTGAACAAAGGACAGCTTTCTTAGTTGAAAGATCTTCTTTGGAAACATTCCTCTCAAGCTGCAAGAAGAAAGGCTCAGGGTTGTTAGGTTTTCAAAGTTGGCAAAGGCTTCTGGAACTGAAGACGACAAATCATTGCGGTCAAGACTAATCACCGAGAGATGCACAAGCTTTGCCAAAGAATCCATAGGACCTGAGAGCCCACACACCTGCATGCTCAATTCTTGCAGGCCCAAAAGTGACGACACAACATTCGACCATTTGTGTCCTTGTGCTGATAAATCTACACCATCCAGATACAGTTTCTTCAAACTTGTGAGATTTTGTACAAGGTCTTGAAGACTTGGAATTTCTAGTCTCGGATCACAGTAAAAACAAGAGAGATCAAGAGTGACTAACTTTGTCAAGTGAGAAATCCCGATTGGAATCTGCCCCCTGAATGCAGCGTCAGACAAATTTAAATATATCAAGCTTTTGAGCTTGTGGAATCCAGATGGAAAAGCAGAATCGAATTTGTTATATGCCAAATTCAAATCCTGCAAATATTCCAGATTGAATAAACTGCTAATCTCACCGGCGATGTCCTGCTCACTCAAGTCAAGACCAACAACATGGCCATTGCTGTCACAGGATATACCTGCCCACTCGCAGCAACGAGGATGTTGATTCCAGGATGTCAGAGTCCGAGAATCCTGATAACTAAGGTCATTCCTCAGTTGAAGGAGCAACGTTCGTTCACCATCAACACATTGGCCACGTACCACAGAGACGTGCACCCGCAGAATTAACCAATGGAAGAATATGAGTGGAAGCCACGAAACAAACGGAATATTGCCCATTGAAATATGTAGGAGTGAGGATCTGAAGGTTCTCCAGGCACTCAAACTCATGCTACCAGAGAAGAAATTAAAGAAAGACAGACGCTGTCTCAAGTCTTTAGCGTTTTATACTCTGGCTCCTTAAGTCGTTAATGGAATTATTTAGTGGAATGTTGATGTTTCGAGTTCTTTTATTTGTTTTAGTTCTTTTTTAACTCATAGTTTCCACTGTTTGACTCAAATATATATTAAATAATTATTTAGAATAAATAAATACATAAGATTAAAAGGAAAATAATTAATCTCATTCATACACTCTCATCATTTTAAGAAAAATGGTTAGTTAATTAACTTAAATTAGTCAGGAGTGTCTCCATAAAACTTGTTAGGGGGCAAATACCACGGCTTTTCTAGTACATAAATTGTTTCTTTATATTATTATTATTATTATTATTAAGTAAAATACACTGACCACCCTTCTGTTATGTATTAATTACACAAACATCATCTCTATTTTGCAAACTCATATAAACCTCTTGTAAAATAAAAATATATATTACACAAACCTTCCTTTATTATTTGTTATTCTATTTTCATTCATCCAACTGTTAATATATATTTGCTGAAAAAAATATATTTTTTATACAACTAAAAAGCATGCTCTATGGTATTTGTTACACGTCATCAATTGTTACATTGCGCTGATTAACTTTTCAAGATATTAATTATTTGTTTTTTGGAAAAAAAAATACTAGAAGCAAAACTACAGTTTGAAAAGGAGCCAAATAAGGAAAAGACTAACTGAGACTTGGAGCATGCTCCTGCGTAGCTCTATCTGCTACATCAACGAAACATAGAAAGAAACAAATAATTAATATGGGTTTATGGGTGAGTGAGCGTAGAGGTCAGGGCAAGTGCAAGTCACTTTCTTGCATGTCCCTTGGTGTACTGCAATAAACGGATATGATTGGTCCACATGGCAGGGGAAAAAATGTTAAACATGATTTTCAAGAAGACCAGACTTTAGAGGAGGAAGATTTGTCTCTGAGTGAAATACAAGCAATGAAGGGGAACGGAATTAGTTTTTTAATGAATAGACTTTATGTGGGTGTAAAAGTCAAGTAATCCTTACCCACCACGCATCCTAATTAGCTTGTTTGGATTGAAATTGAAAATGGGAAGAGCAACTATTGTTTTTCACGTTCTCATGTTATCGTGTTTGAAGAGGAAACTTGTTAAATGGTGCATTACTACTTTTTCAATGAACGAGAGACCACGTCACCCTTTTTCTTCTCACGCTTCACTCTTAGCTGGTTGCTTAAGACTGGGGTTTAAGAGTCACAAATGTTGTGTTCACTGTCCCATTATCTCCTTTCAGAGAAGAAATTATATTGGGGATATGGATTTGTCTGTGTATTTATTTTGGTTCACTTCTTTTCTCATCAAAAGAGAATTTACACAAAGACCTATAAATAATCTTTAACCGTTTACAAATTATTCAGAGACTAAAGGCTTTGTTTGTAATGGGAGAAAATATGGATGTGAGAAAATTAATTAGGAAATAAAAGTAATATATATATATATATATATATAATCTTTGTTTTTCTCTAATTTCCCCTAGAGAGAGGGGAAAACTATAATATATATATATATATTTATGCTACGGAGAAAAATGTCCCTTGAAACAATTGTTTGTTCACATGCACTTTACTAGTTTAGCAAAACCAAATTTTCTAAAGTAGGTTTAAGTATATTTATGTAAAATTAAACAATATATTATCAATTATCTTTCTCAGTTTTGGACAACCACTTGAACAATACTTGTCCATAGGCTTTATTTTCAGTCGTTGTTGTTGTTACATAAAACAAACGTGATTTATAAAGAGGAGTAGAGGACCATTAATTAATATTTTTAATGGGCGTACTTTATTTCGGAATTATTGACTCCAAACCCTAGATGTATAAATTTCTGCATATCATTTGTATTTGACTATTGGAATTTATTGTCATCGACAATAGTTATTCTAATTAACCTTAATGGAGTAAAGTTTAATTGTCTCCTTCCAAAAACAATAAAAAAAAAAAAATCAGCGTTGGAGTCCACTTTGTTAAATTACTTCCACATGTATTCAAGTTATTGTCTATAGGAAAAAACAATCATATAATGGGATAGATGAGTTGTTCACGATTACGTACTCTAAAAAATAATTGATCCTGCCGTGACACCTTAACTCCCATGCATCGCACAGGTAGTGCACTAGTTATTATCGAAATTACCATGCAATTAGAGAGCAGATGGGAATTTCACTGTGCATTCTTTTGATCAATCTCTAATTTTTGTTCCTGATAACCAAAATATGGAAATATATCATAATTGAGGATGTTGTAAAATTCATGTGAATACAGAAAATTTCTTTGAAAAAGTTACATTTAACTAAGCACAACAATATTTGAATATGATTCAATCAGTTGACTATATAGCAAAAAAATAAAAAACAATAACAAAAATTATCTATGATATTTTTGGTCAAGGCACTGTCGGCTCTAAATATAAATACTTTTTTAATAAAAATTTGAATTTGAATTTATCATATTATAAGAGACTGGTTCTGTTTGTAAGGTTCAATTCCATTAGTTTCTGTTATATGTCATGAGCCTATATAAAGAGATTGTTTTAGCAGAGCATTATGGACTTGGGTCTTTTGGTAGTGCAATGTCTTGTGCAAAACGAAATTCAAATTGACAATTATAGCCCCAAAAGACGGCAAGTAATAAACAATAGTATAGGGCACTTGCACTCCTCTCTCAAGATACACATTAACTTTGTGAAATCTTTGTTTAATATAGGCTGAAAATTTAATGGCTCTCTTCTCACTATCAAAGGAAGTTAGTCTTACAAAGCAAGCAAACCAGTGGTGGTACTTTAGTGCTACTTTTTATTACATTGATCACTTAACATTGCACTTGCTAATTTGATTGCTCCATCCCTCTTTTCTTAGACTATAATACGCTTTTTCCCCCGGGGGGGGAACCAGCTAACGGTAATGTGTTAATTGGTAGAAATACTAACCATCAATCAAAAATTACTAGAACAATAAAAAGTCAGCTAGAGTCTGATTCTAATATTGACGCCTCTTATGTGCCAGAGAATCTGCCTTGAAGGCTTCAACCACTATCCATTCAATTCCCTTGTACGTAGTTTCCCCAACATGTTGTAAATAGAGTGAGTGCAATTGGTAAAGAAAGTTTTATTTTATCTCGGATAAAACTAGAAATAACCTTTATGTGCAAGAAGTGACATTTAAACTCATTTATATAAATAATTGCTTCACACAGCTACAAAGGGCCCCATTTTAAATTATTATTTTTTGAATGTTATTTTTTTTAAAGTTCAAATAGACTACATTTACTCTCAATATGCTGTGGAAAAGTGATCCTTCTAATTTAATTTCATTGACATGATTGAAGTAGAACCTGTAATCAGTATGGTCAATCATGCAACAAGAGTTGGCAAAAATCGATGACAGGGAGAGAAGGAAGCTTCAACGAACAGGAAAGAGTGCAGTACATGACTAAAAGAAAAGCCAGTGCATGTCTTTGACAATGGCTATGTCCCGTATGCAGCGAGAGCCCTGAATTTTCCAAGAAAATTAACAGATGCACAATCCGACTCAACATCTTAAAATATATATATATATATATATATATATTTGTCTTAGCAATCATTTGAGGATTTGATGTTGGAAATCAAACTCACTCTGATAGCTGAGATAAAACTTAAAAGATGCTATATTTCCACACATTTTCATGAGAATAAAAGGCAGAAAATAAAACCACATTGATTAATAAAAAGGTCATTGTGCGTGGCATCTATTCTCATCAGTTTGAACTTTGCCTCAAACATTCTATGAAGCAGCATAATATTGTAACGTGATTAGAATGCGCCACAAATGCGGATTAGTGAGACATCCACTTTAGAGTTCTGTAATTCTTCCCTCCATGGTGTTCATCCACAAAATCCAGCCATGGGAATATCCTATGAAGCAGGTAATCAAGGTGTTGCCAGTACCATGTTCTCCATGGCTTCCAGAAAGCTAGAGACAAAAGAACAATCCCAATCCCAAAAACAAATCCCAATTCAGCACTTATGAAATTCCAATCAATTGAGCTCTCAGAGTGAGGTGATCGTGACATCCCTGGTGTTTCATAGTCGACTCAATTTTTGGGTCAAAGGAGGTCCACATAACCCGTCATTGCCTATCAAAGAATATGCATCAAAAGATTGAATCTGAGTACCAGATGGAATTCTCCCTTCTAGATGATTATATGAGAGGTCCAAGGATGAAAGAAAACACAAATCTACCATCTGAGTTGGTATTTCCCCCGTCAATGAGTTGTTTGGAAAGTCTTCGGACTCGAGCTTTCTCAAATTCCCAATAGATGATGGTATCTGGCCCCTAAGATCATTATTTGACTAGTTGAGGATATAGAGTGCTTTTAAATTCACAAGTTCTTTTGGTATTGGCCCTTCAAGATGGTTGCTTGAGGGGTCAAAAATGTTAGAATTTTAACCCACTTCATCTGTTGACGTTTGCTAGTAACAATCACTCTATCCTGATAATAATTATCATCATATTTAAGGATATCATATTGTAGGGTTTGTGCTTTATCCAGCATCATTCCTCCCCATGATATCATCAGTAATGTAATCACTCTTTGAAACGCACCTGTTGCATCGACCCTTCTTTCAACCTTCCATTGGCTACTCTCGATTTATATCATATAATTCATTCTCATCTTTTACTTCCAATGATGAAAATTCGCATCGCTTGGATGTCATTTTCTCGCTGGGGAAAAAAATTGCGGAATTGACTTGGAAATGCCAGATAGTGCATACTCATTGTGACTGAAGGGAAATGCACAAGTTTATACAACAAGGCTTTGCCAATATCATAATAAAGTCATAAAGGAGCTTCCATGTCTCCATTTTTTCCAAGGTTCAACAAATAAATTGAACGGAAGATTTTATGTATACGTGAGAAGTTGTTCCCCTTTGCCACGGCACATTGTTCCCCAGGAATATATTTTCCATTTGACGGGCTCCTGGAATTGTCAAGGTGAAGCTTTTTAAACTACTTTTATTTTAGAAGTATCTTCAGTAGAAGATCCCTCTTTTAACATACTACCTCCTTTAACATGCATGCATATATGTATGTACACGTAAGTATAAAGGATTGATGTTAACTTTTGGGATGACAGAAATTTGCAGAGATTCATATAGTCAATCTTCCTTCTCTTCTGAGTCATAACCCAAGACAAAAAAGGCCCAAAAAAAAAAAAGGAACCAGTATCTTGTCAGCATGTATGTACAAAAACAGGAAAATATTATGAACTGATGTTAACTTCACCTCGCGCACGAACCAAACGACCATTTTGAAGCAAGCAAGCAGGAAAGGAAGCTTGGCAACTGCTAATATGGGATTTTAACCTGGGAATGTTAGGGTGTGCACTTCTACATCTATGGCACCTCAACTCCATGGACAGCAACTTGTCATCATCTTTCAAGGTTGCTTTCCCGTTATTAGAGATCTCATCAACTACATCTACCGAGTCACGAAAGAAATCGGTGTTGAACGAGTTCCAGTGCTTCTTGTTCTTCAAATGTTTTGAGTCAAAGTCCTGACTTATAACATGTAAATGTAGTTGTCGCATTGACGGAGCCTGCACAAGAATTGACCTGAAGGTTCAGCACACATGAATATGCTCCACTAACAAAATAGAGTTCCAATGGCCACTGAAAGGTTCAACCACCATGCACATAGAGTCTTGAACAGAGCATTATAACCAAATGCATGAAAGATGCGCTTGTATAAACAACTTCTCTCCCCTTTTCTTTGCGATAAAAGGAATCACATCTTGTTGGAAAATAAGATACCAGAGACAAATTTGCAAAGAACCAACAATAAATCAAATACACCAATTGAATCCTATGACATATCTAAAGGCATCAACACTAAATTATAATTAACTAAATAATAATAATTGCATTTCCTTCTCAACGATAAAATATAATTACTTAGATTGTTTTATAAATTACCATTTTAACAATATGCTAAACCACATCAACCATGTTTTAATTTGAGTCCAGGTAAGAAAGGTACGTGGCTTTGCATAATGCATACCATACACCCACACTTCCATGCTTTGAAAAGATACCACTTTAATCTTAAAACTAAATCTAAATAGGATATTGATGGAGACTGGTGATAGGGGATACCCAAGTCCCAAGCCAAGTAATATGAGATGCTCAATAAGGTATTTAAGTAAGTTGGTTTTCCCACCTCAATGGCTAGCTTTTGGGGGAGAGCTCCCAATCACACTTGAATACCCATTAGACTTTCATTTTCTTTTCTTTAGAGCAAGGGAAGGCAACAGCTCATAACAAATGTACTGCTTACCGAGTGATATCCAAGACGAAAAACCAATGAAGCATTCTCTTGTAAGAACTTCTCGGCCCACTTTAAACCCACAGCATGCATCTTCTTTAGTAAGTGAAGGTGATCATTTTGAACATCAGCCAGGCAATCGAGGCCTCTAGTTCGTGCCAACACCAGAACATGCTTCTGTGCCTGCAAAACATAAGGAAATTCTGATTGTTACCATTGCAAAGTCAAGAATGACATGATTTTTTTTTAGGAGGGATGAGGGATAAGATCAACCTTAGGATACAGATCATTAAGCACAACTACATCTTCAGATATTTCAAGCAATTCGTTCTTATGCTTTTCAGGATTCATAGCTATTAGATGAAGAGCTTGAGCCCATGATCCCCATGTCTTATTCAGGCTGGCATCAATTTTTTATTACTTGAATCTATATTTACGACCTTGTTACCAGTAAAGTTCACTTCAACGTCATCCTGACTTCCCTTGTATTTCTTGCTTTTTTCAGATCCATGATCAGCATCTCTCTTGCTCTTTTGCTCTGTGCCAGCCTTCACAATTGATGCAAAAGCTTCAAATAGTGAAGTGTAAGCCTCTCTGAGAATCTTGCAGCCTTTATTGTAATCATTGTTGAGACAATCTGGCCTTTGTGAATTCATATTCGGTCCAAGAACATGTATTACATGGGTTACTCCCTCTCTAGCAAACAGAGGAGAAGATGAAGGTAGAGGGACAGCAACAGCATTCCCGGGCAAAAGCAATTGTGCTCGTTCTTTGGTTGCAGTCTCCAAGACAGGACCTGCAGCCTTGAAAACTGCAGCATTAACTCCTCCACCTCCAGGTTTCAATCGCCTGCAATTAAAATTAACAGGTTTAGAGCTGACTTGTCAATACATCCTATCAGTTTATTGAAAGTTTTAAAAGCAAACGTGGGTGATGGAAAAGTCTTTGCTAATCAGATTGGAATAAACCAGGAACATGGTGTGAAATGAGATAATTAGGAATGAATAACCAAACACAAGACAATTTAGCAACCAACATAGAAAGACAATAATTGAACATAAATTGACATACACATGTGACCTGTGAAGGATTATGGTATATTCTCAAATGTTTATGACTTTTCTTGTACAGCTGTATAGATTTACGTGTTAGCTGCAATTAGATTGTTATGTACACTGAAACTAAAAAAAATTACCAGTTGGCAGCATTAGCTATCACAGCACAGTGCAAGCCCCCTGCGGACTTAAGGCAAGTAATGTCCCCAACATGTGTAAAAAACTTTCTGGGATCTAAGTTCTTTTTAGAAGCTTTAGCTTTAACTAAAGACAGAATCTTTGAACCATGAGTTAAGTCAACTAGAGCAAATCTAGCATTCACAAGCTTATTTGAGAACTCCAAAACTTTCTCCACAATAATATCAGCTGCCTTTTCATGGTCAAATTGGAAATCAGATGTTGAAATAGATGGAAATGCCAAAGTGGGAGCGTCACCCATGAAAGTAGGATCAACTTGAGAAACAATGGAACCAACTGAGATATTTTCTACATTCATTGACCCTAAGTTGGCTTTATCTGAATTTGATGGGAAATTTTCCACATCTTTATGGTAGGGATCTATCATCCCATTACTTTTAGAAGTAAAATTTCCACCACAATTCTCTCTAGACTCAGCAACAACTGGGACCTCCGCCTTTTTGAAAAACTTCATTATATCCACTTGAACTTTGGCATCTTTACTTTTCTGGCCAAAACATCCATGTGGAAGGTTATCCAGTGGCCCAAGTGCACTATACGTGTTGATAGCTGCTTTGACATCAATCTCATCAGTCTGAAAAATGTTATCCGGTTAAACCCTTCACTTAACGTAGGCAGCTCTTTCTTTTGAAGCATCCTATTCACTACTGCAGCAGCTTTTCCACCCTGCAAATTGCCTTCATGCCCAGTTCGTTTGACACATCGGGAAATACAAAGCTTTGCTGGAAGATCAAGCACAATGGCATGAGCATCTATTTGGGGTCCACAAAGCTCTGCGAATCCTGAACGCTGTTCTCTATCAAGGTTGCATCTGTCAATAAATACATTCTTTCCATCCTTCAATGCTCCAGCTGCACTGCTTAGACACTGAGCTTTGTTTCCTGCTTTTCCATTTCCAATGATATCCTAAATCAAAAGGAAAGACAGGACATGATAAACATTGTTATGGAATGTTTAAAAGCTATTATTGTTGTGTCACCTCTGGGAAAGGGAGGACGGTTTTTATTTTCCTCTTTGGGGTTGGAGGGAAGTTGAGCAGAAGCTCCTTACCCATGGATCAAGAATTATCCAAAGACAAAAAACTTTCATTTTTTTTCTCAAGATCAAGTTAATTACCCACTTCAATTAATTTAGACATGAATGATCAATACCACTAGCAAAATAAGTTAAAATAAGTGGATATGATTACAAATGCTTCAAAAGCTTCAATTAACACCAAACAAAAAAAAAATACGGGTAACTTTACAACATTACTATTCACCAGACGAGATTGAAATTCCTTGCTTAAACAAATGAATCCATAAATTTCCAGATAGCTTAACCCCTCAAGCCAACAAGAATAGGCACTTAAAGATATATAAAAATTGACTGGGCTACTTCAAATTTGAAAGCGCGCACGGTATATCAGGATAAAAAAGAAAACATAAATGGGATAACGATCTCGTCATTCAAACTATGAACCCAAGCTAAAATAGAAATGCCACCCAGAATTGATGCTCAAGACAGTTACAAAGACAAAACGGTAAAACTCAGCAAACATTATGTTTACTTCAAAGGCAGGAAACACCATGAAAGAAATTAAAATCTTGAATGCTGAAATTAAAGCTCGACGAGATATTTTATGAAAATATAAGTGGGGAGAAGCAACCCAACCTGGCAGACGCGAACCCAAGGACGAGTAGAAGAACGCATAACTTCTTCGCAGAAAGTGGACTTGCCGCTCCCTGGTGCCCCCACTAACATGACCAATAAGAGCTTTTCCTCTGCCAGACAAATTGCAAGCTCAATACACACCAATTCATTCTTCATTGATGAGAAGGTTTAGTTTCTTGATTAATCACAAATAACGAAACGTATATGATAAAAATATGATTCGATTTCTGATACCATACCTTTGGGTTTAGAAGTTTCATCGACGTCCATCTTCTTCAAGTTTCAATCTTTCTTTCGGCCCCAGGAGATGTTAGATCGTACTTCGCATATGGCAACTGAGACTGACGAAGTCGAAAACGCCAATGCAACTGGTCGGATCGGTGGTATTTTTCCCCATTATACCCGTAAAACGAATGTTTTTATAATTTTCTTATTAAAACACGGAATTTTTATCTTGCTCTTAAATTTTTAAAGACAAATATATTCATTTATATAAAACAAAATAAAAAAATATAACTTTAGATATTTACATTTTACTTAAATTTTATTATAAATTTTTATATTTTTTTATATTTTATATCTCTATGTCAAAAAAAAATGTAAAGATTTAAAATACTGAAAAAAGTACAAAAATTTATAATAAAATTTAAATAAAGTGTAGGAATTTAAAATTATATTTTTTTAACAAAAAACTTATAACATAATCAATAAACAGTGAGACCATACTTCAAACTTCATGTGTGGTCAGAAATATATCTAACCACTTATAAAAATATTTTTAAAAATACATTATATTTGAAGTTAAATTTAGATTTTGAATAAATACTTATTTTATATCTTGTCCTCGGAGAAATTACTGCATAACTTTACCCTATTGCTTGGATTTGATTTCACAGAGAAAATAACGTCAAATTTCCGCAATATGTGATGACTAAGTGAACCAAGTTTCACAGCTATTATTAACCTTAAAATCTGGTTATATCACATTTTCTCCTTACAATGAGTTAAACCAGTCACTGTAGTAACTAAATTTGCACAAGAACTTAGCATTATCATAAATACCACAAGTCATCACAGATGTTTAGGATATATAAAGGAGATCGGTAAGAATATACTCTGTTGCAGAAAACAAAGCACTAACTTAACATTTTGCAGTCACTGCTGGATCTCCAATAACACCGAAAATAAATACAGCCGAAAATCACCATAACTGCTATAAGGTGCCAACAATGTAGCCTGAGGACATAAAATGAAGTCTAGAGAACAAGAAGTATAATCCAAACATTTGGTCATAATCTGACTCTTCTATAGGCAGAACTCAGCCAGAAAAAATTAACAAATCAATATGACAGCTTAGCCTCTAGTATGTATCTAGGAAGAAACAAAACATCATGTTCTTTGTTTATGAAAAAAACTCTCTCGACATAAGGTCCGGCGTAAGGATAAAAATATTTCTGATCTCCCAAAGGCATTGCCAATTCTTTCAAGGGATTTAGTGAAACGATAACTCCACTTTTAAGTTTTAGCGCCACTTTTCCGCTACTAGTGAGAGCTAATACAGTCCAAATGACCCATAGAGTTGTGAATCGCAACGAAATATCCCAGTCCATGACTCCACAACACCCATATAGACTTTTAATCTTTTATCAGCCAAATACTAAAACCACCGTCTTACTCTTCTGAATATTGATGAAGCACAGCAAGCCAATGCCCTCCGTCCAAGATAATGGCACAGAATAAGGAGATTCTTTCAAATCATCAATTCACCACCAAAACCTTTCTCCAACCACATGAAAATACACGATAAATTTCTGAACTTGAATTGCAAGTGGAATCAACTTTGAATGGTCAGCAAAACACATATGGCCATTGCAGGAAGAGAGAACCGTCTTCAGTGGCTTGAATTGTTTCGTTGAGATGATCATATATGAAGGTTTGGATCATTGATGGGGGAATTCCAAGCTTGGCAAACAGAGGTGAACTCACAAGAAACATGAGGGATAGTCTGAAGGATTTCCACTACAATCCCT